ATTTTTGAGAAAATTTAGATGATTTGACTTGTAAAAATATCCAGTTCACAAGATTTTATGAAGAAACACACAAGGAAAGGGGGCAGTGAATGAAATCAGAAACTTTTTATCCTGGTAGTTCGATGAGCTGAATCCAGATATGCAGTAAAAACAACGATTCGTTTGCTGGAAATAGCCAGTCCCCAGCATCTCATTCTAGTCCGCATTTAAACACACCCGAGTACACACCCCAATGCATATTCAATCTATTTATTTTTCCAGCGAGGAACATGTGATATTCCTTTTCGTAGTGAGCAAATTATAATTTCACCAGAGTAAAGTGATTTCAAGATTGTATATTGGTATCTTCAGATATATTGTTTCCTATTGTTCAGGGTTCTTGGTCAAGATGCTAGGATATTTAGAATTTTTTTTTATTGGAAAATAACTTGTATGTAGGAATGACAATTTTTTAAATAAATTGCATATAATCATGAAGAATTATTTCAATTTGTATTCTACTAGTTTCTTCTCTTCTGATACCCTGTTCATTGTTCTGCTAGGTTCTGGCCGTTCAGACCAAAAATGGACGTCTTCGGGACGTCCCGTGCTATCTGGGTAACTCATCACCTAACGATAAATGACCTATGCCATCAAAAAACATACTTCAACTCCGAATGATAGTATATATATATCAATTACTATACACTGCTCAGTTTACCGAAGCAGTAACGTCACCACCGGTTCTGGGCACAATGCGCGGTTATCAAGGGCGGATCCAGCCAGTCAGGGGGATCACGGGTTTCATAATTCAAATATTTATATAGATATATAGTGGAGGTTTTTCCTATACATATTGATAAAACTTCAGGAAGTGGATGCTGAGATATTTTTATGGAAGAAGTTCCTTTAAATATTCGTCGAAAAATGCTTCCTAATAGGGTGCTACGCCCCTTATATTAATCCATTTTTGCCGAATTCCCTAAATTGTTTGGCATCCTCATGCCCAAATTTTTGAATTGATCAAAACTGATTTTTTTGCCATGATTTCGTGTTCACTTGAGCTACTGAATCCATAATTCGATGCGTACATTGAAAAACCATTCCAAATTTTCGAGAAATATTGCGTTCCATTATTGATTCATCAAGACTGAAAGGTAAGGTCTAATTCCCTAACAACTACGGGATCTTGCTGGTACATCCCGCTAAGGTTTTACAAATGTCCCAATGTTTCAGACTTAGGAACGATATCCCGGAGATGTTTCTCTTGGGACATCCATCAGATGTTTTCATTGGATGTTCTAGAAACATCCCATCTGATCTTTTTTTATAAACAATATATCAGGGTACCATATCTGCTAATGATGATTGACATGATTGAACAGTTCAAACAATTGTGACATTTAACGTCTTACTGATGTTATTGTGTTATTAGGGTTGAAGTTCATATGGAAATAGAACATATTCACTAAAGTTAATGGACATGGAAGCTCTTGAAACAATGTTCATGCAGATTCACCGAGCATTTTTCACATTTTCACACATTTTTGTGGTATTCTCCATGATACATGATGGCACATCGTTCTTGTATTTCAGAATTAGTATTCCAATAATTGAATCCATCATACCAGATATTTTCATGAGTTCTTGCAATTATTGGCTGAGAAGAATTCGGTCGTCCTCCTCCAATAACAGGGTTCGCGTATTTTTTCAAATAAACGTTAGTGATGTCTCTTCTGAATTTCAAAAACTCAATTTTTCCATTGTTGGGCTGACGTCTGTAAATTTTCCAGGCATCATGCATGGCTGAATCGAAAAAGAAGGCAAATGTAGGGCCCACCACCATTTCTTTGATCTGTTATACATACGGTAATTGTTTATGTTTAGGTCCATATACGATCCACACCTTCCATATTTTTATCATATTGTCCAATGACGTTAGGCTGACACCAATCTATTTACCTGACCAATGAGATTGACTGGATCACAATATGAACTAACAGTATATATACACAGGGTGGTTATCGTTCCATGAAATCATCGTAATTCCAGTAATTTTGTCAGCCATATATGTATATGTACCCCTATATCTTCTTGACCTTTGACTCTGATAGTAGGGGACAATACTCAGTCCTATTAGAATTTATTGTTCCAGTATATCCATAACCCAATTTCTGCAATTCAATTACAAGTTTCAGGGATGAGAGATACTTATCTCCATATATTATGAATGGTATGTTAACATCAGGCAGCTTGGACAATAATGTTCGCACTACTGAACCACCCACTTCTAATTCCATATACTGCCTGTTATTCTGTTTAGCCTGGCAGGGATAGAATTGAATCAAATAGCCACATTTGGATCGCATGTATAACTTATTATGGCTCTCCCTTTCTGAACTGCATGTTTCGTCCAATATGTCTACCAAAGTTTGGAACCATACTTTCATCTATGCTCATTTTTTCGTCCAGAAAGGCATGAGCTAAGAGTCTATTATTTAGCATTTCAAATAATGGTCGCATCTTGGCAAACTTATGGTAGGGAACTAGGTTTACATTGTCTGCACAATGAACATATTTTTTCATCATATCAAATCTATTAGGGCAGGGTTATATATGTATCGGAATCCACCTCCCACAACCCAGCCAACCATCGTGTGACATCAACATCTGTGTGATGTGACAACCTTGCATAAATGCAATATCTCGTTAACACATCTTATCGACGTAGATTCGATATCAACGACGTCGCAAGGTGACATCGCAACCAGGAAACTATGTAATGTGGCAGCGACTTCTTCAAACTACATTTCTTCGACGTTAACTAAATAATTCACATTGATATCCTCATGAGATATCTTTGTGACCTGTGAGTGTGACGCAGGCATGCCCAAAACGAACGCACACGCCAGACGTCATGTTGAGCTGTGCATGGCCGTGTCAGTCAGTCAGTCAGTCAGTCAGTCAGTCAGTGAGTGAGCCCGACTCCGTACAGACTATTTCTTTCCAAATTCTCTGTTAAAATATGTGAGATGATTTATAGCACATATTATAGCAGCTTCAAATTGGAGGTATACAATCATTGTAATTATCTCTGAGATAGGAATATTGCAATCTAAAACAAGGTGGATGAAAGATCCCAAGATGATGTAAGTGTATTTGATATGTATCATTTATGAATGATGTATATTTGCATGTATTGCTATATATATATATGTGTCATGTTTTACTTCAAGATGGATAATTAATATGGGGCATCACAGTGAGAAGATGTATGGTAAAAATATACTATCCCTATCAGGACTTCTGGGACACGCATAGGATGATAGGGGAACAACTTTAGGCACTATGCATATCCCTAACAACACGTAGGGATGTCCTATAGGTACGTCCCTTTTTTGTCTCGCGGTACAAGGACATGATTGGGGCATCCAGGGGATGTCGCGCAGTGGTTGTCCAGTGGACATCCCGCCCGGTACATCCCCTAGGTTATCCTATTCGTGTCCCTGGAATATCTGATATCCATTCACATCATCAGTCATTGAATTTCATCAAAGTATTAAGTTTCATTTTTTTGAAAATGTATGTTTTTCTTCCGGAAAATAATCGTAATGAAAATAAAGAATAAAGTTTCAGAACTTCTCGAGAAATTACCATTTTTCGCAAACAGAAATCGTACATGCATAATGCCCCTAATTTTCAAACACCCATCGCAAGTATGATATAATAATTATATACCCAAATCCTAACAAAGTTGTATTTATTCAGGTTTCTGTAGTTAAGTCTTGTTTATAAATCTGTTTAGTACACAAATCTTCAGGAGGCTCAATAGCCAATGGAGTAAGATGCGTGCCTGATAAGCGAAAGGTCCCGGGTTCAATCCGTACTCGACTTTTGTCGATACCCTGGGATATCCTTAGGACGTCCTAGGGATATCCTTTCTTCGTTCTTGGTACATCCCAGGGACGTACCAGAAGGACATCCCTGGGATGCCTCTTTTTGTGGAAAGCGGATGTCCCTGGGACGTCCCTAGTATATGTACCATGTCCCGACACAGGATATCCCACGGACGTCATCGTAGAAAATGAAGGACGTCCCTGGGACATACCTACTCGTGTTGTTAGGGATATGACATGGTGTTTTATTCTTTTGTATCAATACTTATGTTTCCCATGACCCACCCTATATTCATCAGCCGCAATGCTAATTATCCTACTAAAATGAAGTGCATGTTGACATCTTGCTATCCATTTCATTTATAAATAAGGTTCCTATAGCGCAGTGGTAAAGGTGTAAGGAACCAAAAACGCGAGACTCTCCCCACACTGATCGCGTCTGAACAGTTCCCCCACCCTCTTTTGGGTACTTTCTGTGAGATTACCTATACAAAGGGCCACCTCTGCGCCAAGCGGAGGGACGCCCAGGCACACCTGCAGATGTGCCAACACCTCTTTACAAAATAATGTGAATGATGAATGTGTTGTATACAGAAAGAATAAACAATAAATGACTTTAACATGTATAAGGATTGTAAAAATTCAATCAAGAGAGACTGGATGTACCATATATCATATCTTGTTTCATTATTCTTCATCTTCTTGATGGTCTCAGACGAACAGCCTTATCGACTAGTAATTTAAAATGAATTAAATATAATATAATTATTAATAACGTGTATTTTATATTTTACAGGTTGATATTTTACGATACTGAGAATTATAACAAAATAATTAATATGATGAGGTTGCTGATGACATATCATCCATGGAGTAAGAAATATTTCAAACCATCATCAATCTCACTTTTCATTTGGTTCGTATACCTTTTGAGTAAGAGAGCCATGTCATATTTGTGAACACATGGCTTTCACACGTCCCTCTTTCTCATCCCTTTTCGCGATGGAAATACTTCGTAAGATTTATGATCTTTTCTTTCCACACTATGTTAACATCTCTAACGAAGTTATTGAGTAGAACAGACAGGTAGTTGATTACAGTACAAGAATATATCTAGAAAAATAAAACAATATTCTCGATTTAAATAAAATTATATATCAATAACAATATTCACATGTCATAATCTCAAGATAAACTATTATTTTGAAAATATTCATTTCTTCTTCACTCTGTAACCGAATATTGATGATCCAACTCGAACGTTGGTACTACCCAGCTCAACCTGTAATAATAATGGAATGATAAAAATATGTATATTTCACAAATTCGATAATTTGACTGAGCTGAATTAAGAATCATTATTTGCAGTGGGCAGTAGCTTGAAATATATTTTTTTCATCGCTAACCTGAGAAATCACCATTATTCGAGGATTTCATCTAATGAGAAGTTACAATTTTTCAACATAGGTAAGTAAAGATTAATTTGAATTTTACCTAGGTAGATAAAACTGTCAATGTCAATAGTTGCGTTTCATTTGTTCCATTCTGGTAGCAGTGGTGGGAACAGAATGACGTTCACAAATAAAACGAGAAACTTCATGACCTTGCATAAGAGAATTGACATAAAGATGATAGAGGTTATATTTATAACGGTGAAGGGCCAAAACTTATTTGCTTCACTGGCAAAGTGACTGCAAGAATGTGAAAGGCCAACCGATTTTTGCCGCTGAAGTCATTCCCCCAGCAAAGAAAGCATTGGGCCAATAACTTCCCGGTAGTTCATTGTTTGTTGGGCAATTAACTGAGAAAAATCAATCGAATGGAATATTTAAGTCGATTTTCAATTGCCGCTGGCAGATTTAAAAACTACCAATCCTAAGAAAAAGTTGCCCATTTAATACAGATTCTGAAATGGTATTATAACATATGGAGTTATTCAAAACAGTCTTTTTGTTATTAATTTTTTTCAAATGGGTCGCATTTATCATAAAATTGAATAACTTCTGAACCATCAACAATTTGATAACAACATATACCATTAGTTTGATTACGAATGACCCCCCCCCCCCCCTCCTACCACCCCACTTCTTTTGATCCATTACTTATGGGACACCCTGTATATTTGGGTCCGAATAATTTCAGAATCATAATACTAGTTGAAAATCGAAAATATAAATCAACGCATATTTGGAACAGTAATTGTGGTGATTGGAGAGGGTTCTCTGAGATCGAGAGAATTCATTTTATCAGGGAATGAAGATATTGAACCTGACTCACTTGGAAGAATCATAAACTCGTGAACCACGCGATAAAAATGTTTTCTAAATGTCTTCTACTCTCAGATAGTTTCGTTTTTCGTCAATCCAATGTCATTTTTTGACAATTGTCAACAGTCATGCCCCGTTATTTCTTGTAGTGAGACGGAATGAAAAGTAGCAACCGGAATCGGAACAGTTGCAAAAGTTGAAAAATGAAATATTCTTCAAACCAACTAAAGTTGAAACAAAAACTATAAATCTCATTACAGCTGAAAGCAATTTTTGAATGAAAAATGTTTGGAATAATGTGATTATTGTCAATTCTTAAAATGTCACCACACAAATCATAAGTGAGCTGTCATTATCATGTGTGAATTAGACTAAGAATTCGAATAACCATGATTTTCTGTATGGAAAAGCTGTTATTCGAATAAAAGTCAATGGATTAGAAACCGATGCATTAGCGGACACAGCGAGTTCCAAAAGTTTCGTGAGCCAAAATTTGGTGGAAAATCATAATTTACCAATATATTTAACTGATGGGCAAATCAATGGAGTGGCTATGGCTTCAACATCTTTACTTGCCAAAGTTATCGGATTTTGTACAGTGACCCTAAATAAATATCCGTGGATATGAATGAAAAATAGCAGTTTATTGATTCTCTCTGACTTGTGCGCTGATGTTATTACCCAGATAGCACACAATCGCCTAGGGTCATCCTCAATATGTCGCCAAACGCCTAGAGAGGACGTTACATTTTCTACAACCTAAGAACATCATCAGGCGTAGATTTAGCGCCGTAATTGTCCTAGAGAAGTTCTTTCAGTGACAGCCTGAGGCTGCAGCGGATGTCGTGCCTACGGATGTCTTCAGATGACATTCCATGAAATAACGTGTCGACGAAGCCAAAAGGAAGAAGAAGAAGACAACTAGAAATACTAGAAGTGAGGTTATGTCCCATGATAATATTTCTCTGAGAAATTGGTGAGATAATAAGAAATACAGGTGATTAATTATTCAAATCATTGATAGTAGGTAATAGACATGAAATATTGAATATATTATTTTATTTCAGGAGGTTATTGAGAACACAAACTTGATGATATCATCAGAGCAGAGATGTTTCATTCCAAGATATTTTGGCTTCTACGGAATCTATCAAACATTGTATGAAGGCTTGAACTTTCAGTGAATTCAATAAAGATAGGTACCTACCTGAATCAACTCATTGATAATAGGTAGTGGACATGAAATATTAATACATTATTAATTGTTCCAGGAGGTTATTGATGAGAACACAAACTTGATCATTACATCATCAGATCAGAGATGTTTGATATTCCAACATATTTTGGCTTCTTTGGAATCTATAAAAGATTGAATGCAGGCTTTAACTTTCAGTAGATACAATAAAGGTACTAGGTAGGAATCAAATCATATTGATAGTAGGTATACCTACTGGACATAAAATATCAATACATTATTTGTTTCAGGAAGTTATAGAGAACACAAACTTGATATCATATTATCAGAGCAGAGATGTTTCATTCCAAGAAATTTTGGCTCCTTCGGAATCTATAAAATATTGTATGCAGGCTTGAACTCTCAGTAGATTCAATGAAGGTTGGTATCTGAATCAAGAAATTGATTGTATAGGTAGGTACTGGACATGAAATAATAATACATTATTTATTTCAGAAGGTTATTGAGAACACAAACTTTTGATGCTATCATCAGAGCAGAAATGTTCAAATCAAATATATTTTGGCTTCTTCCGAATCTATAAAAGATTGTATGCAGGCTTGAACTTTCAGTAAATTGAGCATCAGATAGTATGTCCAGGGTTCAGAAATCACAAATGATAACAAGAAGAGAACTTACAACAGAATCAGAACAAAACAAAAATCATCATAATGTATCATTATACACTACACTGTTTTACCACCAACCAAACCGATTTTTTAACGCCCCGACACGTGTTTCGCTAACTATGTTAGCATCTTCAGGAGAAGATTAAAACTTATTTTAATCTCCTAACATTGTTTTCGACCGTCCTCATGTTTGTAGATGCTACACATGGATATCTCACAATGATAGTATAATTTAGACAAAGCCTCAATAATAGTGAAGAAATAGTCGACCTACAATCTGATATATCCCTGAAAAAAGTTTACCTTGAGAATTGAATTTCAATTTTTAAATAAAATGACTGACATTTTACAAAAGATTACGGGTGTTCCGTAATATGTGAGACGCACTCCTAGGGGTGATAGACCATCTCAAAAAATGATAAAAGTTCCTATAAACATATGTCCAAAACTCTTTTGTTTCCGAGTTACAGTGTTGAAATTTAAAGATTTTTTAGTTCTTTCCTTATAGCTCCTGCAGTTTCATTTTTTTTTCATTTTCATTTCATTTCAAATAAGTGAACCTAGGTGCGAGTACCTGATATGTGCAAAAAGTGAGTTTTTCTACTCACATAACTAAAATGGCATTTAGCGTACGGATATGTACCACGCTAAATGATCGATTAATCACGGATTGTCGATCTGTGATTTATTCGAAATATTAAACACGTTACCATGGCAACACGATTTCTTAAACACATTACCATGGCAACGCAGTTCATTAAACACAGCTTCAGTAATTTGAGACATGTCTGGCCTGTCAATTGTATTAACTGTCAACTGTTATTTTCGAATTGTGTATCAAAATTATTCAAAAATATTCGTTTGTATCAGAGTTCTTCATTAAAAATATATGCGGAATGTAGACGAAAGTGAAATCGAAGAGGATGTTTTGGTACTTGCATATCTCCTAGAAGTGTAAAAATGAAGCATCCATCTTTGAGAACAATTTATTTGTTCTGCGCTAAAACAATAAACGTGAAACAAAGGTTAGTAAGCAATGGACTGGACACATCTACAACCAATATCACTTATACGTGTCTCGCTGGTTGCATGCAGTTGCATGTATTATGTTCTCAATTCCCATTCCTTTCGAATTATTTTGTAGGTTAGCAGGAATTGCAGGTATGTTAATGTAATTTTCGGAGTTCGTAGAAAAATCATAGTATGTAACGCGTTTATAAACTCTTCTAGACACTTGTTTATTAAACACTCGCTTCGCTCTGCTCCGCTCGTGCTTAAAATACTCGTTACTAAAAGGACGTTTATAACACTTGTTACATAATATACTATTACATATTGACAAATTTAATATAGAGATAGTAGCAATTTCAATCACAAATTCGTTATAAAAGTAGTAGGTGAAGCTTTCAATTCATAAATTTCTACAGTAGTACATTTTTAAATACACTATTGTTATGGAGTATTCTATTGTGAAGCAGTTAAAGTATTGTAATGTTTGTTTATGAACTCTTTAGTTGCTCTGGAAATGTTTTTCGCATTTTTCGTTTTTTGATACTTAGGGTACAGTATTGCAGATTTTTGGTCCTATCACATTGATAAACCATCGGTATAGGTATAGGTATCTACAAAAGGGTATGTTTACCATTTTTTTTGCTGTGTTGTCTTGTTTGGTACAAGTGATTAGTATATTTTTTATTTTTCAATTTGACATAGTACATACAACTTGCGTAAAAATATAGGGATCTGACATTCGATACTGATTTGTAGTAGTTTATTCTTGTGATGTTATATTTCAAAATATATTTCTGAATTGTATTTAGTTGTCGAAGTGCATAATCATGAAGCCCTCCCCATGCAATTATGCCATATCGTATGAGAGACTGAACAAAGGGACTGGTAGATCATGGTTATTAGTTTTTTATTCAGAATGATTTTGATTATGAAGGGTTATATTTTAAGTTATATTTTAATTAGGTTTTTATCAATAAATATTCCTAGATATTTAGGCTTCTCAGCCTTCTTGATAATGAAATCGGGATCGTCAATGTGTATCTGGTTAAAATCTGGCCTATTTGCATTTGCAGATAGAGTGAAACCTATGTAAAGAGTTTTCGATATATTCAGAGACATGTTGAGGTCTAACTAGTTTTTGATCATTTTCATTCCTTCTATTACCCTTTGTTTGACCATATGTACTTCCTTCGAAGATAAAGGACTGTATCATCTACATAAGATATTGAGATGCCTTCTGTGTTCATGAGTAAAAGTGAGTTGATATAACTATATGATAAACAGTATCTATGGGGTCAATAACTGTCCCTTGGGGAACACCTATTTTCATTGTTTGACTGTCACTATACTCATTTTTGATTTTCACAATTTGTTTCCTTCTTTGAAGTTACTTTTTAAAACCTTTCAACTCTGTTTCCCTTACTCCATAATGTTCCATGACATTTGGCTCAAATTCGGAATACGGGTTACACTCAGGTTACACTGTAGGGCTCGCATCATTGGGCATGCCAAATGGTCTTGAGAATATACAGGAACATATTTTTTCAGGGGTCACAACCCCCTTTTTCAACCTGAACATTTTTGTGGTGTGCCACTGGTGGATTCAATGAAACATGGTGCACTATATGGTTTCTTCAGAGTATTTTTGTTTTCTTGTAGGTTTTTCGTTCCTGCGAACGTTATTTAGAAAAAAAAAATCAGATATTGTCTGTAATTAGTGTTTTCATATTTTTGCTATGCACGGAACGAAAAAGTACCTATGCCAAATATCATTGTTTCTGAGTAATAGGGTGTTGGGAATCTTGAAAAAAAGATGTTCATATTCTCCAACTACATTGAGATAATTGAATTGAACTAAATTTGCTTGATTATACTTCCTTTCTAGATACATGAATAAACCATACAGAATGTATTAAAAAAGTAACTTCTTGATAATCATTTCCCACGACTTACTGCCGACGAATACTGCAATCTCAACCATTTTTCTTTTCTTTCCGAAAGAAGGCTATTATTACTGTGGATTATGTCAAAGACCAATTAATTGACCTGTTATTGTTGTATTACTAGGATAATGAGGGGTAACATTTTCAGTCACGCCAGTTGGCGTTACTAGAATACAAAAATTCAAAAACTTCACCAGATATAGCCCTGAAGGATGTGGCCTGTTTTATCTAAAACATTCTGGAAAAATAATGTGACATATGCATACAAATAGACAAACTCAAGTTGCGTCTTTCACTTTCAATGTGGAACTTCACGCGCAATTCTTGCATTGAGAGTGAAGAAGATATTATAGGAAGAGGCCGAATGACAAGAGAATAAGAAGTATACCTATCTGTCCTACCAGCTCTGCCATCACGTCTCAGCAGCGCAATCTGGTGGACAATAATTTCAGCCCTCATTACTGCTAATTAATTTTCCTTTCTGTCTATACTAGTGTTCACTTGAAAACTCTAAAATATGGATCAAACGAATGAAAAAATGGCAGATAAGCATTGATTTGATGTATGGAATGGCCCAGTCTAATGCAGCAGATACAAGACGACTCATCTATATTGATCAATTTCCTTATCACTACCGGATGAAAAATGTTTCAGAAAATACACGAACGTTTGAGGAATTCAAGTTGTTTTAAAAAACGTTTGTCGGATAATAGCAGGCCAAAAAGAGTAAGAACCCTTGTAGCTGAGCAGCGATTTTTTTTTATACCCGACGTATATCAACTCATGAAAATATTGGACATACTACAGTGTGGAGGGTATTGCGATAGCAACTTCTACATCTTTAACATATTCAGCAAGTGCAAGCGTTAGATGAACGTTATTTTCTTCCACGGATAGAATTTTGCAATCGGCAAACTGTTTTATTCACTGATGAAACTGGTTTTTCAAGAGATGGTGTTTCCAATTGCCACAATACCCACTGTTGTGCAGAAGAAAAACCTCACGTTATTCAGCATTTAGTTCACTAAGGCAAATTTAGTAGCAATCTGGACGGGAATAATTAAAACAATTTGAATAGGAATTTTTTCATTGATGGAACATTGACGGGTCAGTCTTACGCCAACTTCTTACGGAATCAATTGCATCAGCTTCTGAGAGACGTTCCACTGAATGTTCGACGTCGTATGTGGTTTATGCATGATGGTGCACCAATACAGTTCATTGTTATAGCCAGAAATACTTCGAATGAGCTATTCTCTAACCGATGGATAGATCGCGGTGGTCCTTCCGTGCGTAGCCAAAATTTTAAAACACGAATTACAAAAAAAAATCAATAATTTTTTAGTAGATACGAAAAAGAACAGAACAAGAATATTCTGAATGAACTATCGATTTCATCATTGAATTCACCAGTGACGCGTCACAAAAAAATTCAGGGTGAAAAAAGGGGGTGTGCCCCTGAAAAGATATCTTCCTGTATATTCTCAAGACCATTTGGCATCCCAATGGTGAGCCCAACAGTGTAACCCATATTCCGAATTATAGCTGGATATACAGGGTGATTCAGGTTTCAAGGTACAAACTGAGATGAGTGATAGATCTCATCATTTCAATTGAAAAGGTTCATGTTAACATGGGTCCGATGTCGATCAGTAGCGGAGCTCCAGAGGGTGAAATTTCAATTATTTTTTTCTTTTCATTGAAATATCTTCACTTCTAAAGATATTTGAATTGAGTGTAGTTAATACTTAGTAGAAAAAAAATCATCATTTTAAGCATCCTGAAGGTGGTTGAAATCTACAGGGTGATATGTTTTTGGGGGTAAGGTTTCTTTATCCCCCCAAACTTTTTTGTAGTACGCCACTAACATCTCCTAGTTACCAAATATAATGGATTGATCAATTTGGAGGCTTTACCTAACCTAACCAGACCTCAATAATTCACCGCCGTTGAATTTGGTTTCTTAGTAGTTGATAATATACATTCGCTATCAGCCCTTTCAGGTTAATCCAGTAAACCGTATGTTTAGGTAGATCGCTATCAGCCCTTTCAAGTTAATCCAGTAAACCGTATGTTTAGGTAGATATTGTGTCACTTTACGAAAATGAAGGTTTATAGAACCGTTCCACAGATAATCCTGATCCTTTAGGCTGGGAAAGTAGGACATGAAAGTCAATGTGAGCTTACTTTATTGTACCAGTATTCCACCTGAAGAAGCTACTGCGAAATATGTCATGTGATCAAGAATGTTGTGGAAATCTCATCTTTTGTGAAGTTTTTTACATTTACTATTGATTTCCATCAAGTAACGGCTGAGTCAGTTAAAAAAATGTATAGTACATAGTTTTGTCAAATGGTGGTTTATGTTGTTTGGAAATATCGCTGTATTGAGCAATCTAACGTTAACGAAGTCAGAAAACTATTTGATTTTTGTTCCGGAGATAACTATAAATCAAAATGTTGCTGATCTCAGGTCAATATTTGAGATGAATTCTATCCTTGAGGGAAGAACTACAGTTACCTACCGCATGTTCGAAATCATCCGACATTCCCATTGACAATCCTATATTTTTCCAGTCGACTCCTTGACTTTGACAAACGTCATCCCTACAGCGCTTCAAGGTGACGAAGTCAGGATTTGGGCCATCTGTTGGATCATATCCGAATCTTCCTATGGTCATTAGGCCGGCTAGGTGAAGGTTGCTACATTCGTTCAGCACAAATTTTGTCATATCACAGACTTGGTCAGGGGAAATTCCATTTTTTTCTGGAACAGGAAATCAATTGATAGGCGCACTTTCACGAGATTGAAATTTTCAGCTCGATTCATGAACAGCTGCAGGGCTTGACAAAGACCACTTGGCGCCCGGAGCACAAAATATTTTGTCGCCCCCTAGACATCACAAAAATAGAAAAAATTAAAATATTATTCTTATCAAATTGCCTTCTCATTTCAATATTTACACTACTCAGTGACAGATGTTGTTTTCATCAATTTATCTTGAATTTACCATTTTCATCAAATTCGGAAAGAATAATATTTTTCATTCATTTCATTTTCCAACACTAAGTGTCACTGACAATCGATTGAATTTTTCTTTCAGGCTCTCTGGTAGGAAAATTCCCATACGCAGTGACATTTTGCGGTAAATCACCAGATAAAATAAATGAAAGTTAAAATCACAAGCAAAAGATATCATTCCTGGAAACTTGAAACCGACAAAAATAAAACATATACCGGGTGGCTACGGAAGTATTACCTACGGAATATCTCAGTTATTGTATGAAGTAGGTTTGTGAAATTTGGAGCATCGATATAATGACATTAGAGCTAGAATTTGAGCATATTGACATGTCGAAGTTAACTTCCGGTCTGACCGTAAGTAACATCAACTTTCTAATTTTAAATGGAAACCCTATTTTTTTCTTTTCGCTTTATTCAGCATTCAATTCCCTTTCTAATGACATATCACAAGTTGGTATCTAACCAGAAACTAGATGAGAAAAACATTATCATTGAAATTCACCGAGTAGGCCGTGGAAGCAAAATGAAAGCCAAAAATTGAAAAGTTGGCTTTGGAAACCATACGTCACTTGATAACAGTTGCTACTACTGTGATATTTTATTTTCTTTCGTCGGCGTTATAAAAAGCCGCCAAAAAAATATTGGAAAAATTGGGAAAAAAACAATACTCTGTAGGTCCATAACTTAAGTAGGAACATACAACTTTTTCTTGCCTGTACTATTCAGCATTACCATTCCTTTCTAATGATATAATTGAAAGTCATTTTTTGAAATGAAATACCAAAAAATTCAATTATTATTCTTCAAATAACAAAAAAACAGACATATCAAAAAAAAAATTCGAATTGATAGGATTAAAGATAAAATAAATTCAAAACAAATGTTCGAAATGCATTCCCTCAGCGTCAATACATTTATTGACTCTGGTGATATTTTCATGTAAAACGTTTCTCAACATTTGGGGCGTGATATCTTGGAAAGCTCTACGAATTTTTACTGCTGGCTCATGTAGAGTTGTGTGCTGTGTGGAATACACCCTATTTTTAAGATGCCCCCATAGAAAAAAAGTCGCATGGAGTAAGATCAGGTGACCTTGGTGGCCACCTGACTGGACCATGGGTTGTTATAAGTCTCTTTCGAAAGCGATTTTGAAGATACTTTCTCGCTATTCTTGAATTATGCGGAGGGGCGCCATCTTGCTGGAAGTACATTCTCTCAGTCATTTCCGCTGGTAGGTTGTTAATAAATTCCGAAATTTCATTCGTTAAAAAACTAAAGAATCTCTCTCCGGTTAGTTGGCCTTGATAAAGAATGGGGCCAACAATATGAGTTCCAACTATTCCTGCCCAAACATTCACACCAAATCTCTCCTGGAAGCCGCCTTGTCGAAACCGGTGCTCGTTTTCTATCGCCCAGTACCTGGAACAAAAGACCGTTCACACTTTCAGCACTTTACACTTCGACTATCGACAATAATCCAAATAAAGTACAGTACCTACCTTGTATTATTCCTGTTAAATAATCCATTGTTGGTAAATCTTGACTCGTCCGTAAACAAGATACTATAATAGTTAAATAGGTGATTCTCAGCATTTTGTCGAAGAAACCAATTACAATATTCCAGGCACCTTTCAACGTCATTTTCTTACAAATGTTGATGCAACTGATACTTGCAGGATTTAAATCGATGTTTTTCAAAATTTTCCTAGCAGAGTCCTTACTTATAGCTAATTCGGCGCCAATCTGCCTTGAGGAAATTGTGCTATCATATTGTACTAAAGCTAATACATTAATTTCAGTTTCCTCATTGATAACAAATGCTTGTTGGTCTTCGTGAACATCAGGCTCAGGTCTTCACCATAAATGAGAAGCATGTCAATTTGTTCGGTTCGTGAATAACGGGGCATTTTTTTAATATTCCACTAACTGATTTCGATTTCCAAACCCTTTTAAAATGGCAGAATCAAAAACACTACTTCGAACGTCAAAATAATATGGATAGCAGCTCTCGTTTCTTTTTTGTTTCATTCCAAAATACATCTTAATCAGCCTACTTGTTAATATTTTTGAATAGCACAAACATCCTCCATAGGTAGATATTAGAATATCTATGGACGATGGCACAGACCAAGCCAACTTTTCAATTTTTGGCTTTCATTTTGCTTCCACGGCCTACTCGATGAATTTCAATAATAATTTTGTCTGATCTAGCTTCTGGTTAGATACCAACTTGTGATATGTCATTAGAAAGGGAATTGAATGCTGAATAAAGCGAAAAGAAAAGAAATAGGGTTTCCATTCAAAATAAGAAAGTTAATGTTACTTCCGGTCGGACCGGAAGTTAACTTCGACATGTCAATATGCTCAAATTCTAGCTCTTATGTCATTATATCGACGCTCCAAATTTCACAAACCTACTTCATACAATAACTGAGATATTCCGTAGCCACAGATGAAAGATATTATTGAGCTCCCTTTCTGGCCTTGAACTTTATAAATGTCTCAATAATGCATCGTTCATCAAGACTAATCAGAAAATCATGCCCTGATGACTGATATATCGAATTTTAAGTTCTATTGATCATAATATTATAGAATAGAATATAGATAGATAGATATATTTATTGTTCAAAAGAATACACAATTCTTATAACAAAGAGTTTGGGAAGGCCTGGCTGGTTCAGAAAGTTGAACTAATCGTAACAGTATTAGGCCTATTTATACATATACACTTAAATGGCAAGAAGAATACTAATTGATGTGATTATCGATCTACAGAAATAAAATAAAATGAAATACGTACATGACATCCGTATACATATCATGCAAACTTCAATTCGATTTCTATGAAAATAACTTGTATAACTATAGCTATTCGTTCAGAATGAATGAGCGTATCTTCAGAAAGCCTGTTATGAAAAAAGTCAGTTTTCGTAGATATTTTGGGTTACCTGCATCAAGTATCCCAAGCAGATCGTCTAAGTTCACAATTTCCGGTCTAAGAAATACTCGCACACTCTGATACAAAGGACATTCAAAGAAAATATGCTCGATAGTTTCGTTTGAATTCAAATTACAAATAGTGCAGATTTCATTTGTTTTAATTATGTACGACAAACCGTTTATTGTAAAATTAATGAAATATTTATTGCAAGTTCGTATTTGACAAATTAGTCTGATGATGTGTATCGGCAACGGTAATTTCAGATAGAGTAAACCACTTTCACTTGGTAAAAAATTGTAGAGCTTGGGGTATTCTGAATGAGATAGTCTGTTTTTTTCATTCCGCAATAGAAAAGTTTTATATGAGTCTAGAATTACTGATTTCATTCTGTGCAAATTTAGTTCGTGAAAGTTAGCTGCTATATCTTCTCGATCTAGTTGTACAAAATATTCTTTCACTTGTAGAGCCCAATTGTATCTATAATCGGTACCATCGAGCTGTAAAAGGCGAAGAAAACATATTTTTGGAAGGCGCGTGTTATCCATGGTTCTGAGTTTGTTTAGCCATGACAAAACAGCTTTGAAAATTGTGTGAGACAGTTGCGTGACTCCACATTCTAGCCTCACAATGAAATCTGGGGTGGTTTTCGATAATCCCAGCAGTCTTTTGAAGAAAGCTACTTGGATTCTTTCTAGCACATCTGGATATCTAATTCCCCAAACCCCTACGCAATATGACAAAGAGGAAATAATGATTGAGTTATATAACTCAATTCTTGATTCCCAACTAGACATTTTGGAGCGAGACATAATTTCCATGACAGCACCAAGTGCACGTTTAGCTTTTACGACTGTAGATAACGCCATTTCTGAAAATAGCGCAGAGCAGGAGAAATCTACTCCAAGATATGTGAATTTACTCACTACTTCTATTTGTTTTTTATCAATATGGAAATTCATTTTTTTATGATAACCATGTCCACCTTTAGCAAAAACAACAACTTTAGTTTTAACGGTGTTGACTGTGAGATGATTCTCAAGTGAATATTCTGCCAATACATTTAGTTTGCGCTGCAAATCACTTTGGGAATAGCCAAGAATAACTAGGTCGTCCGCATATAGAAGAAGTTGAAGATCATTATTTCCGTTTATGTTCAGACCAACGCAACCCTTGGCTTGAAAATATGATTCAATGTCATGAATATACAGGGTGTTCATTTCAGGACTTCCCACCCTAATTTTCTCGAAATGTGTGTATGTTTTTGAAAAATCCCGAGACACGTCAACTACATTTTCGAGGGGGACATGGTTCTAAAATATTCTCAGCCCCGCGGCGTTGCCGCTTCTAACGAAAAGAAGCAACAACTTTGTTATTTCAAATAGAACACCCTGTATTTTATTGCATTTTTAGGTTCTCCCTGAAAAGCTGATTTCATCAATGTATCACACTTGGGGTCTAGCAGGAATGATTACAGAGATATAGGGTGTTCAAAATCGAGATTTTACAACTTTAGGATTTTTTTGAGTCGAAACTATTCATTATTGGTCAAAACGGCTTTCATGTCCCTATCTCAGCTTTCGATTTACTATCTACTGACATTTATTTGAAACAAATACAGGGTGATCAAAATTCTGAATCTTGAACCACCCTGTATTTGTTTCAAATAAATGTCAGTAGATAGTAAATCAAAAGTTGAGATAGGGACATGAAAGCCGTTTTGACCAATAATGAATAGTTTCGACTCAAAAAAATCCTAAAGTTGTAAAATCTCGATTTTGAACACCCTATATCTCTGTAA